TTTCTCTTTATCATTCAAAGAAATCTTGCTGTAAATATTTCAAAGCTATGGTATTAGATGTATGCATTTTCAAAACTGTTATATCTCCTTAGTGCATTTTTACTTTCTATGAATATAAAATATCTGTCTCTGCCCTCCTTGATATGTTTCATCTTCAGTTCTAACTTACCTGTATGAACGCTGCTACATTATCTTTTTAAATTAGTTTTTAAACTTTCAGAGTCATTTTGTTTCAGCCTGATTTTATTTCATTTTTATACCATCACATCTAATAAATTTGGGCTTATCTCTGTCATTACAACATTTTTTTTTCTCTTTACCCTGCTTTCTCAAGTTTCTCTCAACCCTCTGTTCCTGAAATTTGACTTCTATTTACTCCTCTGCACAGCTGAAACCACAGCCTCAGGTGTTTTCAAGTTCAATTATAATTTCCAGGGTAGGTTTGGGTTATAGGAAAAATGCCATCGCTCCCCAAAGGGCACACATCATGTTTCTTGCAAGCATGGGTTCTGAGAGCTCTGTGATTGACCAGTTACACTGTCATTTTGCCAGAACCACCATTACTTCTGGCCCCAACATGAAACTTCTTGCTCGATAAGGTATTTCAAGTGAATTCACTATTTTAAAATTCATCTGGCCACACTCTTCTCTTGTTGAAAAATAATAAAGAATTTAAAAGAATCCTGAAGACACAGCCAAAGAACCCACAGTGAGGGCAGCTGTGGAAGGTGCTCGGTCATAAGGGCAGCAAATGAAAGCTGAACAAACCCTGCCCTTTGAAATTGTTTTATCATCCACTGCCTTTTTTTAAACCACGCTGTGGCAGAGTTGATTCTGAAAAGGACAGAGTTACATAAGGGGACCAGTGTGCTCAGAGAGAGAGCAGGACCACGGAGGCCAAGCCTGTGCATTTCTTCCCCACAGCAAGTATTCTTGGCTCCATTCAGCTGCAGCTGCTGAGCTAGTAAAATCCAAGAAAAGAAGGAACCCAGTGAATAAAGGAGACAGAAATGAAAGAAGAAAGCTTGGCCAAGAGGATCTCCTGATAAGGCAGAGGCATTAGAGAGAAAAGGAATTTATAACCCGGAGAATACACTTAGCTGGGCTTTCTCACATGTCTACTATCTGAGTTCAAATCATCTGGGTTCAAATAAAAGAATGCTCTGTCCCAGTCATTATTCATGTGTGTTTTTTAAGGCGCAAATTCCAGCATAGGCAATTTTGGGGAGAACTGAACTATTTATTTACTGGAGTCTTGCTTATGACTGTTTTATCCAGGCAAGCAGAAAAAGATCCAACGCGCCCAGAAGCTGGGCTGCCTTCCTTCTGCGATGATTCTGAAGGGGGCTCTGCCTGACCCAAAATGAGTGCTGGTTATAAAATCTCCGCAAGGCCAAGGGCAGAGGCAGCGCCGCTGGGTGAGGGAAGCCATAAACTAGACAGAAAGACATCCTGGCCCCGTGCTTTCTCAGAACATACCCTCGGGCCTGGGGTTTAAATCACATTATAAACCAGTTTCCACATCTGTAAATAGGTCACTGGGCATCCACGAATTCAGCACTGCGGAGAGGAAAACCTGCAAGGTGATTTAAGAACCAGCACAGGAAGTGCTGGGTTGGGACATAGCATCCCTCACCTGGACCCAGGGCGCAGAGCCTCTGCCCACAGGGGATGCGGTGATTAAGGGCTGCAAGGAAGAGGACTCTTAGACAGCTCAGGATTTGTCAAGGTTCACAGTTATCTGGGGATACCTAGTGGACTGTCGATGGAATAACTCAAGGAGGCTGTCTGCAAACCTAGAGATGGACATTTTTACAAAGTGACAGAAAATATAGTGGAAATAGCTTATAGTTGTGTTTTCCTGGGTCAGAACTAAGCCCTGGAGGATGAGGAATGGATACTCCCTGCACAATGGACCACTCTTCTCACCTCAGCCTTGGGTTGTGGTGTGCGAAGGTGTGGTCGGTGTTGAGAAGGGAGTTCATATCCTATAAATGCGGTGATGAGTATCTACAGAGTTCAAGATATGGTTGGAAAGTGTGTTATTCTACCCATCCTATGTAATAAAAGCCTAATATGCTAAGTGTCCAAACGTTGGACGTTTGACTAGTCGCTATGATGTGCACTGACCACCATGGGGCAGATGCTCCAACCAGTAGGTTAGCTTGCTGCTGGGTCTGGGCAAGATGGGCCAGACACGCCCTGGAGCCCTCCTGTGGTCCCTCCGCAGCCCCGATCGTGCACCGGTGGGGTCCCTCGGCCTGGCCTGCACCCTCTCACAATCCGGGACACCTTGGGGGGATGTCGGGTTTCGGCCTGATCCCACAGGCCAGGCTGAGGGACGCCACCAGTGCACAAATCTGTGCACCGGGCCTCTAGTATGCTATAAAATCAGGACATTCAACATGACCAGAAACATATGATCATTCACATTTTACTGCATTCTCTGGGTCAGACTTGCATTTGTGGTTACTAATGAGGAAGCATAGTAACCACCTTTGAGAGAGACCCTGGAAATCAGTGTGGATGGACAGACAGATGAATGGGTGGATGGGTTATGCACTGTAATAATATAACCAGGCTTCAGCAAACAGACTGGGGAACTGTAGAGGCAAGATGAGCTATATTGTTTCAGTACAAACAGGTTTCAAAAAGTCGTGGTGTTATGAGTGAGAAGGTGGGAGCTGTGGAATTATCGGGGAATGGCATATTTGTCAATAAAGATAATGAAGAGATGGTTCCTAAACCTGAACAGGAATAGATGGTGGCACCTGGAAAGAAAGAAGAACTTCACCTGCATTGATTAAAGAATAAATAAGTACATACGTATCTCTTAGCACCCATCACTCTGAATCTTCATTGATAAATCATTGATAAATGCTTCAATGGGCCCATACATTTTATAACACATTTTTCAATCAAATTGTTAATATGGACAGGAGCCTCACAAAAGAATATTTACCCATTCTCCTGAACAACCTATGGGAGGCCCTGGTGAGTACCACAGTAAATACTGGTTGAGGAGGATAAGGAAAAAGAAAGTTATGGGCTGAAACATGAAAGTTAGGAGAAGCCAAGAATGTACATCGAAGGAAAAGGGAGAATGAGACATTAGGAATTAGATGGTAAAAAAATAAAATAAATAAATAAATGATGGTATGCTTTGCATTTCAGAATAGTTATGTTGTCCTTGTGTCTTATATTCTGGATAGGAGAAAAGAAAATCAATTCTATTCTTGTCAGAAAATAAATACATTGAGATTTAGAAAGTATACACATGGCTGGGACATTTTCTTTTCTAATAATATACCACTAACTTAGCCAACACAACCAATAGAGACATTAATATAGGTTTAAACAAGTGTATCACCTAGGCAGATCCCTAAATTTCTTTAATTTTACATTAGAATATAAAATCGCTCATTCTAATGGGTTAGTAAATGCATAGTCCTTCAGAAGTCCCATTGACAAAAATACCACAAATGCAGAGGGAAATATACTGTTATTTCTGCTCTAGCTGTTTCTCCATTTTCTAATAACAATAATGAACTTGAAGCATCGTATTTGCATACAGATAGGTCTAGATTCCTGTTTTGCTGAGGCTGTACAGTTAAGCATGTCACTGATGTGCACTTCCCAGCCTCAAAACACAATTTAAAGACCACTTTATGGAAAGTCGAATTACAGTGATGTGCTTAAGCATTAGAGCTGTGGCTTTTCCAAAAATCGTTGGTGACAAAGGCAAAGTTCTATGGCACATAAGTCAATCACAAAGTTCTGAGCTATTACAGCTCACTAATTGCGGTTGTTCTTTAAATTCCTTAATGTCCCAATCCATGCAATATTGCCACCCATTCAATTTCCCAAGCCTTGACTCTGTCCCTTCCCTCTACTTCTGTTCATGCTCTCATATTTATAAAGGACTGCAGGGTCATGCACAGCACCAAGAATCAGTGCAGCCCTGGCCAGTTTGGCTCAGTGGATAGACTATTGGCCTGAGGACTGAAGGGTCCCAGGTTCAATTCTGGTCAAGGACACATGCCAGTTGGGGGCATGCAGGAGGCATCCAATCAATGATTCTCTCTCATCATTGATATTTCTATCTCTTTCTCCTTCTCCCTTCATCTCTGAAATCAATAAAAATATATTTTTTTTAAAAAAATCAGTGCAAATACAGTCTTGCACAGGCCCTACCTTCTAGCAGCTCAAAGTCTCCTAGGCCGACAAGAAGACAAAAAGGTGCAATACAACATGAATATTGGTGTGTTCCAATTGCCATGAAAACACAGAGAAAGGAACATTTGCCACTGCCCATTCAAACCAAGCCTTTGCGAATATAAGTTCAACAAGCAAAGAAATGGCGAAAAATAGCATCCCCAATAGATGTGAAAGCGCAAAGGTGGATTTAAAACAAAACAAACACACAAATGCACAACTTTCTCAGGAAATAGGGGCAAGGTGGCAGGTGATGTGGCTGGCTGACCGTAAGACAGGAGAAGGGGCTTGGAAGTGAAGGGCAGATGATGAACATCCTTTAACATTAAGCAGGACTCCATCCTACAGGCAACTGAGGGCCACCAAAGAGGTTATATTGATGCTTGCTTGGTTGTTGCTGTTCTTATTGTTGTTTCTTTGCATAGCAGGAAGAAATAATAACAGGTGTACTCTGTAGAGAGGCAGTGTGGAGGAGGATGGTGATAGGATAGAAAAAAGAGCAAACAGAGGCAAGGAGACTAGCTAACGGGCTATTGCTGTACTTCTGGACAAACCCCAAGTTTAGAGAGAAGTCAATGGCAGGGAGGGCAGAGATCAGTGGAAGACTTTGAGTGATATTTACCAAGAGGATTCACCAAGGGTTTGGTGTCCACGTGGATGTGACGAAGAAGAGAGTGACAAATGGCCACTTATATGTGGAATCTCATGGACAAAAAAGATCCAGAGACATTGAAGTATACAACAGACTGACATATTTCAGAGGGAAGCGGAGGGGAAAGGTGGCAGGAAGAGATTAACCAATGAACTTATATGCATATATGCATAGCCCAAGGAGAGACAACAGTGCAGGGGTAAGAGTGGGGTGAAGCGGGTCAATGGGGAGGGGGACTGCTATAATAATTTCAACAATAAAGTTAAATTTTGAATAAGGCATGCTGAATACAATGGGGTATCTATAAGGGAAGGTGGCTTAGCCACCAGGAAGGCCCACGGGTGGCATTTACCTTGGTGATTGCTCCCTGGTCTGGGCTTGGCCTCTGGCTGGGCACCACAGAAGCTCCATCTGTGCAGCATGTCAGAGGGTGTGGAGCTAGGATGCTGACTCATGCTAACAAAGCAATTCTGTAGAGAGGCAGTGTGGAGGATGATTGTGAAAGGATAGAAAAGAGAGCAAACAGCCCTAGCATGTTTGGCTCAGTGGATAGAGAGAGTGTCAGCCTGTGGGCCCCTGGTTTGATTCCGGTTAAGGGCATGTGCCTGGGTTGTGGGCCAGTCCCCAGTGTAGGGCATACAGGGAGGCAGCCAATCAATGATTCTCCCTCGTCATTGATGTTTCTACCTCTTTCTCACTTTCCCTTCTTCTCTGAAATCAATAAAAATATTTTTTTAAAAAAAGAAAGAAAAGAGAGCAGAGACAAGACTTACCAATTGTAAGAAACACAAATCTCCTGTTTAGAGTGGCCATTGGGTTCTGTCTATAAGTAAACTGGGGAGAGGTTACCTGGTAAACAGGAAGTCAGCCCCCATGAGCTTTGTGGTTTCCTGTGTAATGGATACAGGCTGGTGGTTCAGTATGCCACACAGCCTGCAAGTCACACCATCCTGCCCTTCTACCTGGGCATACCTGAGGAGGCACGGTGAGCCTTTGTCTTGCTATCAACTTTCCCTTTGTCCCCCTCCTGATGAGATCTCTGTTCTCTCTACACTAAATCATACTCCCTAAATCCCATCTTCTCATTCCTGTCTCAATTATCTTCCATGCTCCCTAATACCAACAGGATGGAGCTCAAATGCTCTCATGAGACTATCTGGGATCGGGCTATATCCCACCTTTCCAGACACACCGCCTTCTGCATTGTCACATACACTTGATTCATTACAGAAGACAGACTTGCAACTTTGTCTCCTGCTCTCTCTGTAAGCCCTGAGTCCTCATTTCCATGTACTAGTGATGACAGTTCATACCCGTTGAGCGCCTTCTCTGCTCCAGATATTGCACTAAGATCTGAATACCTACATGTCCACCTAATCCTCATCTAGTGCATCTAATACTCAACACTAGGAAGCTGATACCACCAGAAGACCCATATTACAGATAGGGAAACAGAGGTTTGAGGAATAAAGAAACTTTTCCAATGCCAAATAGTTATCAAGCAATGCTGCAGGTCTTTGAACCTAGCCCCAAGCCTGGAGTTTATATTCTCAAAGATTCTGCCTTCCCAAGGCACTTGCATGGTCTGTACTACAGATATTTGTTAATATGTAAATAGTTTACATTTGTACTAAGAGAAAACATGAATTAGAATCATGAAAGCAAGACCCTAAAATAAATTTTTATTATTATAAAAACCAGACATTTTCCTTTATAGTAAAATTAGATCTTTGATATTGCTTGTCTAATTTTAAAACCCTTGTTTAATTTATTTTATGCCCCTCTCCTTGGAGATATAAGATGGCATTGCTTTTCAAACATTCTGTCTTTCAGACTGCTTCTCCCCCAGATCCCAAATTAGTCTGTATTGATGAGGTTTTAATACAAAGCAATCCTCAGCTGTTGTATAGCATTGTGTAGGAGTTAAATGTCTCCACTCCAAGTGTTCTTCTTGAGTGTACAAGTTGACTCTACCATAAAATTTCTGGGTGAACTTAGGCAAGTTAATTAACCTCTCTGACACATTTCTGCATCCATAATAACCATCCACCCCTCATTGGTGAGGTAGACAGATGACCAGGGTATGGAATGGCACAGAGTAGACAATACCAGCCATTACTAGTTTATACTATGTCCTAGAGACATTGGGAGAACATTCTATTTGTATTTACAATGAGATGTGAGGCTGTCTTTACTCAATTCTAGCTAAGAAACTCTTGGGGAAATTGTTGGAAAATAAATGAAATAAAAGCTCATGCTTGCTTGGACAGATGGCCCCTTTCTGTTCTCCGCTGTGGCTCTCTGGGAGGAAGGTCTCCGTTGTGCATCTGTGCCATTATAGCAGCATTGACTCATTGCGAAAAGAGAGGAAAGCTCAGGACTCTAAATTCTGAATCTTTCAGACAGTCCCACCATTTTCCAAACATCATGAAATATTTTAAAATCAATAAAAAATGGATCTGGCAGCAAAAGGCGATCATTCATACATTACCTGAAAACAATAAGGTGAAATACATGTCCCATTCACCTTTCAGGATTGTATGCATTACAGGTGAGGATTTATTTTTAGCTGACTTTCCCCTCTTTCTCTCTTTTTGCTCCAATTGTTAGTTGCAGAGGGTCAGAGAGAGTTCAGTGGTATAGAGAAAGTACTAACTGCCGAATGGCTCTGTCAGGTTCCTGTATTTAAGGAGACGGAATTGCATATTACAAGAAAATGATTGTTCAGCTACCTTTTCATTAACAATTTGTCTAAAAGGAGACAGACTTAACTGCTTCTATTGAAGCTGGGAAGCAACAAATTGAGTGTGTTCCATAAGGATTATGTCATACTTCAAGCATATGGTGAGCTCCAGACTCAAAGATACCGCATTTGGAAATGGCGGTGGGTCCACTGTCGTTTGGTGGCTATTTAATTGAATAGCTATAAATACTACTAAAAAAGGGGGGGGGACTGATATTATCTGAACAAGAACCTCAAGTGAAATACTGCAATGATTTCTTTTTACATGTGTGTTTGGTCAGTCTCTGACACATTAAAGAAATATTTATTTGGGGGTCCTATACTGAAGGTTGTTAAGGAAACATCAGTTACAAAATGTTGCTCAGGTGAGTTCCAGTAATGGGTTTCCATGTGAGAGCACAGAGAAGACATCCAACGGTGAGGTGAGGAAACTTCTGAATGAGCCCAGGGTTCATGGAGAAGGGGGCTTCACCAAGGTTCATGCTTGCTTCTACGTCTGTCAATAGAAAATCCAGTCCTTCCCCATCATCACCCCATAATATTCTACCTTTTTAACACACCAAATGATAGCATTAACTTGCATTGTCATAACCTACATGGCCAACAAGTCCACAACAGGTAATAGCCCAAAAACTCCAACCATGGATTCAAGGGGTCCAGAATTATTCCATTCTGTCTGGGAGACATATGTCCACCAGGAAATCCACTGTTGCTCAGTCATGAAGTGTTATTCATTAATTCTCATTGTATATAAGGATCATGTGCTCAATGCCAAAACAGCTATGCTATTCTCCTTTCTAATAGAAAGAGATCACTCATTACTGTAAAGGGAAAAACATATACTGAAAAATACCTAATTCTTCATAGAACAAAGGAAAACCATGAGGCCACACTGGGCAGAACTGACCCCAAGTGTCAGCTGTGGGAGAAGCAGATCGTTGCTAAGAGAATGAAGAGGTGGTTTTCTAACCAATGTTTAAAGGTGGTATATTGATATGGCCATTGCTGAGATCATAAAGAAAGATACTAGAGCAGTTGTTCTCAACCCCTTTTCATAACAAATATTTTATAACTACCTCTTCACTATCTTGAAATAAAATTCATATAAAATGTAAGTTAAAACAAAACCCATTAGTATGGCAACTATAAAAATAAAAGAAAATGCCCTAACCGGTTTAGCTCAGTGGATAGAGCATTGGCCTGCGGACTGAAGGGCCCCAGGTTTGATTCCGGTCAAGGGCATGTACCTTGGTTGCGGGCACATCCCCAGTGGGGGGTGTGCAGGAGGCAGCTGATCGATGTTTCTCTCTCATCGATGTTTCTAACTCTCTATTCCCTCTCCTTTCTTCTCTGTAAAAAATCAATAAAATATATATATTTTTTTTAAAGAAAATAACAAGTTGATGAGGATGTGGAGAAGTTGGAAACCCTGAGCTCTGTTTGTGGGAATGTAAAATAGTGTGGAAAACAGTATGGAGGTTCCTCAAAAAAATATAAATAGAACAAACAGCAATTCCACTTCTGGGTATTTAACCAAAGGAATTGAAAGCAGGGTCTCTAAGAGATATCTGAAATTGAGGTCCTGTGGTAAACGGGTATCCCTATGCTCATCACAGTATTATTTACAATAGCCAAGAGGTAGAAACAACCCACGTGCCCATCAACAGATGAATAGATTGACAAAATGTGTTCTACACATATAATGGAATATGGCTCAACTTAAAAGAAAAAGAAATCCAGTCACATGCTACAACTCAGATAACCCTTGAAGACATTATGCTAAGTGAAATAAACCACTCACAGAAAGACAAGTTCTGTACAATTCCACTTGTATGAGGCATCTAAAGTAGTCAAATTTATAGAAACAGAAACTAGAATGGTGGTTGCCAGGGATTGAGATAAGGTAAGAATAGGGAGTTGTTTAATGGATATAGAGTTTCAGATTTGTAAAATGGAGAAGTTCTGGAAATCTGCTTCACTGCGATGTGAATATATACTTAACACTTCTTATTGTACACTTTAAAATTGTTAAAATGGTGGCTCAGTTGATTATAGTACACCAAAAGGCTGCGAGTTCAATTTCTGATCAGGGCACATATACCTAGGTTTTGGGATCAATCCCCAGTCGGTGAGTGTATGGGAGGCAACCAACCAATGTTTCTCTATCACAGTGTCTCTCTCTCTCTCTCTCTCTCTCTCTCTCTCTCTCTCTCTCTCTCTCTCTCTCTCTCTCTCTCTCTCTCTCTCTCTCTCTCTCTCTCTCTCTCTCAAATCTATAAAAACATATCCTTGGGTAAGGATTTTAAAAATGAAGAAAAAGATATATATGTATCTTCTAACACAAACATAATTTAAAAAATAATCAACACAATGCCCTAACTGTAGTAAAAGGGGGAAAATAAATTTGTAATAAAACAGACATATATTGCAACACAGAAATGCTCAGAGAAGGCAACACTAAAGGATGCAATACAGTAGTGAGATGCTTATTGCTGTCCCTAGAAGAACATGAAAGCAACAGAGGCAGATGGACAGAGGTGGCCTACACTGGTAAGTCAACCAGAAGGCACTTCCCAACTCTCAGTAAAGTTCCAAGCAAAATGATTTACATGGTGACTGACTTCCTAAAAAATTTAGGGTACCTGAAAACAGAATATTTTCACCCACATGAAAGTCCAATGGGGCATTTGAAAGGCTGTCAGGACATTGGGCAATTCTTCAACGGGCAGTGCTGCCCCACCCATTGCTCCAGGCCATGCTCATTAAATGCTAGCAGAGCCCCCTGGTCATTGTCACAACCAAACATGCCCCCTCCAATATCCATTATGTAGCACCCCAGGTAAATCACCTCTAGAGGACACAGTGAGCATTGCCCAACTAAACCATGAGACCCTAAGAAATAAATCAAAGGGTTGGGCTCTTATTTGGAGTTCTGTCCCTGTCGAGCAAACAGCTCAGGCCTCACCTACCAGACACTTGCCACAGTTCTCCAAACAAACAACAAACAAACAAACAAAAAGGTTCTTCTTGATAAAGCCAACTTAGGACAAAATTTGGATTTTATGGTTTTAATTTCTTTAACACTCAATGTATGTCCTGCCCACATACATGTCCCTGAAATAGAGTTTTATTTTACGTAAGACTCTTAATCCCATGCCTGGAGCCGCCCATTCTATTTGGCACTGATCTTGGATTGAAGGCTAATGTCCATGCATTTTCACTTTGTGACTGGCATCTTTATTCTGCTGTGCTGAACTGTGCAGCTGCCTGGAGGCTGAACAGAACTGTCACAGCTACAATGTCACAGCTACACAGCAACACCGGCCCACAGCACTGACTAGTGCTTAGAGGAAACAGAGACAAAGGGCCTAATGAGGAGTTGTCAAGGAGAAAATAATAGTCTAAGCGCCAATCAGACATTGGTTAACATCTTAACCACACGCCCTACCCATAAGGAGAGGGACAATGGCCTCCCTTCCAGAGCTAAGACCGCGTAGGAAGGATTTTAGAGGTTCCTATGCCAGCCGGTTCTCCCTGCACTCACGCATTCAACATACATTTACTGAGCACCAACGGTGTGCTGCTACTAACGCTAAGCACTTATTACTAAGATGAGACCCAGTCCCTACACCCAAGCAGCTCTAATTCAGGGTTCCGACTGCTGTAACAGAGGTAAATGCTACGTCGTCGTCGAGGGAAGAACAGAGAGGCGTTGACAGCAGGCAGTGAAAACTCTCCCAAAACAAAATGCCTGAGATCCTGAAATGATTGGGGCAAATGAGTTTCATATGCCTGGATGACCAACAACATTAAATACTGTGGGCAAGTTTTGTGTCTAGACAGAGCTGAGCCTAGGAACTGTTAGCTGATATGCAATTTTCTACTTAGCAGGCAGGTACGCAGAATTCAATTTGGGGGTGATCTGTATTCTCTTCAGTTTCCACAATAGCATTCAAATGCAGGCAGGGACAGGGGAATTTATCTTCCTGCAAATTCACTCCCTAGGGGTCCGCTGGCTCTCAGCGGGTCTCAGTGCTAGGGAGGTGGTGGCAGAACAGACAACAGCAAGAAATTACAGGCACAATCGCCCTGCAGGAGCCGCTGGCTTCTGCCTGCTCCTGTAATTGCAGACCCAAAACCAATGCCTGGGAAGGAATAACTAGCCTGAAAAAAACATGCTTCTCCAGCTACCCATGGAGCTGGTCTTGCTCTAATCTACAGCAGAAATCTTCTCTAACATATTTCCTTCAGCAAAAGCTTTTTACTATTTCATCGAATTCTATCATTTCTAAAATTTGGAATGTGCTTTGCAGTTAAATTGCACATTTTAAATGGTAGGATTTTGTTTTCCGACTCACACACAAAAATCCTGTTATTAACTTGAGAATGTGTTTTACAATTAGTGATACCTTGGAATCCATGATTTAAAACATATGTCTATGAGACAACTAGAAACATAAAGCTGAGAGGCTAAGCGTTGCTTCACACACACAACTATGTCATCAAATATCTTTTGCTCGAATCTGAGCAACCCAGCGGTTCACCTTTTGGAATCCCCGGGGGAGATAGCCTTCTGGTAAGACCTACTTCACACCAAGCCCCTGCCAGGTAAGTCCTCTGGCCAAGCTCTCCTCAGGCAGGATGAGCCAGCCTGTCATCAGTCTTAGGGAACAACTCAGAGACCAAGCTGAGACACAGGGGTGGAGTCAAACCCCTGAGCTCAGTCAGTGTCCAAGAACGGTGTGGCCCTGGCTTCTGAAGGGGCCAGGAGGGGTCGTGAATTAGGTCGGTGAAGGCTCGTGTTTGCCCCAGCATCCCTCCGGTGCTGCAGAAAGCTGGGCAGTCAAGCTTCATGGACATCCAGGGGAAATGGCATGTTTCTTGAAATCAGTGACTGACAATGCTGCTTAAAGAGCAGGAACCCAGAGAACAAGTGTGATGGTGACCTGGTCCTGGGATAGAGCTCATTGGTGGGGAATCGGTCAGGACGTGATGGGATCACCTTGAACCTTTCAACCTCATGTTCACTCATCCTTCATGCTATTTAATCTCTTGGGCCCCAAAGTGGCTCACTAAGAAAGAATTGATAACAATGAACTATAGACACTTACTTTTAAAGTCTTCATCCAAGAACTAGATAGATTTTTTTTTCTAACCCATCTAGGATTTCCATGATAAGCAGACTTATCTGGAACAAGGTTCAGAGAGCTTTAGGAAGTGCTGCAAACATTATCACTAGCGACAGACATAGGCAGTGAAAACTCCCCCAAAACAAAATGCCTGAGATCCTGAAATGATTGGCCAGTGAAGACTGGAGAGCAGAGTCTGGGTGAATCCATTTAAGGAACCGTCAGTAGCCAGAGCAGTGACTCAGGAGAACCCAGAAGCATCCAGTCTCCGCGGGAGCTTGTTTGGGCAGGCATCTGTCTACACACCTACAGAAGCCAACTCCCCAGGTGGGAAATGAGAAGGGGAGCAAAACACAGACACTCTTGGGAAATGCAGTTTCACTGAAAACACACACACACAGAAAAAGCTGAAGGAAAATAGAAGGCTAACGTGAGAGTCTGAAAAAAATGCATTGGTTCTCTGTTGTTTTGGGAAGTAAAAATTTGGGAGACAAAAATTCTCAACATTAAGTTTTACAAAGTTAGCGTACCATGGCAATATGAAAATATAAAAATCACCACATGTGAGCACACCTGTGCATATTCATAGGAAAAGGTAGGGTTCCAGAATAATGAAAAGGCAGGAGCTTAGGTAGATGCTCCAAGGTCCTAGAGAATAGGAGCTCCACAAGATGGAAGGACCCTGGGGACGAAGGTCACCCACCAATGAGCAACCCCAGTTGAGCTGTCCTGTGAGTGAGAAACAGAAGCCTGTGTTCAGCCCCCATACTTACAAGTGTCCTTATTCAGCCACTAGTGTAACCTAGCGAACACGCAGCTCTATCTCTATTAATACACAATCTTAATGACCTGTCCTAAGTTCTCTGAGCCTCAGTGTCCACATCTGACCTGTAAAATGAAACTAATAATCCTTCTTTACAGGTGTGTTGTAATTACATTGGCAAGGGGATGGAAATATAGACCTGACCCATTTTAAGTCTTCAATAAAGGGTTGTGTTTATTTGCTTTTCTCCAAGGAATAGAGATTAATAACCAGGAACTGCAATGAGGTCAATAAAATTTAACAGCATCACTAATAACTAGAAACAGATACAAGGGGGAAATAAAAGGGTTTAAGTATGGTTCTGTTGCATGTAACAGGAGGCGTTGTTTTCCAGCTTAGAGCTCTTTTCCTTTGAACTGTTCTCAGTGTTGGGGCAATTTGGAACTGTACAGTGCAGGATGTGAGGTAGAAAAACTATTCTTGAGCCCTATTCCTCCTCTGCCTTTGGTTCACATGCTGATCTTATCCCATCAAACTGAGCACATCCTGAGAGTGCAGGCAGGAACTTTGTGGAAGGAAGGAACTTGAGTGGGAGCAATGAGTACCACTTCCAGGACTGGCCCTTGAAACATTGCATGTATCCCCCCCCCACATTCTTTCTCCTCTTCCTGCCAAGATCACAGTGGCCTTGAAAGCCATATGTTGGGAAGTGCACAGTCACTGTCTGCCGAAATCCCCGAATGACCACATGGAGCAGAGCCACTAACCAAACTGAAGGGCTCCCCTGAGAAATGAAACAAAACTCTGACATGTGCAGCTTCTCTAGTGTGAGGTCTCTTCGTTACAGCAGCTAGTGTTACCATATCATACACAGACTTACCCATCTTTGTATTCCCAGTTCCTACAACAGAGTGTGGCTGTGTTATTAATTGAATAAATCAAGTGCAACATCTACACCTGTGAAGCAGAGCTGCCCAGACTTGCTACCAGTTTAGGAAAAACAAAATAAAATATATACTCTTTATTATTAAGAAAAAAACATCATAAAGAAATGAAAACACTGAAGTCCAACCAACTGTAGAGTACATACAATCTAGAAAATATCCTCAGACAAAGTAGACCACCGCGATTTCTCCCCTCAGCATTATTTCCCTTTAATCAAGGTACAGAATTCCAGAAATCTTTACAAATCTCCCCTCCACCACTCAGTTCTAACTCATCCCCATTCAAGGTTTGTGCCTGACTGGCCAAAGTCAAATAGATTATTCCACATCCCTAGCCATGGGGATTGATTTTTGGATGGTTTTGGGAGCTAGGCCAGAACACAAAGTCTAGCCAGGGTATCAAAACTGACTAGAATTGAAAGCATTCATCCAGTCCACTTCAGTATACTACTGAGACAGCAAACAGTGCCAAAGATATTCCTGAGTTTTTGGTTGCATGCATGAGAACAAGACACCCTGTGCATTCCTGATGTCCCATCCTAGAGGGATGTCAAAGTGGAGGACAATTTGATCCTTCTAGTTTCCTCCCTGATGAGGTCTCCACTGAGCCCACCCATCAGAGATGGGAAGGAGATGGCTACAAGGGCCAGCAAGCTGTCCGACTTCTCCAATGAGTGCATAATTTAAATGATGCACTGGGGTCCAGAGCGGGTGAGGCCTTCTCCATGTGCGTCTTACCAAGTGCTGTCATAACCCGTTTAACTCTAGGTGTGACCTGAGCTACTCAATCAGTAGAACTGGGGAAGGGGGAGCAGGGAGACAGAAATGTCCACAGGGGATTCTGACAACAACCCACCCTAGGTGAGCTCCAGGGATAAAAAGCAAAATGTTACCTCCCTAATTCTGTGCTTTATCTTTTTGGTTTTTTCTGATAATAGGAAATAATGCCTGTTCATTATGAATTTTTAAAATTAAGTAAAAAGTCAGTGAATTAGAAAGTGAAAAGCCTCCAAAATCTGCCCATACCAAAAACAAACAAAAAACAAGTAATAGATAGATGTATATCTTATAGAGCTTTCTTTATCTATAAAATATGTGACTTTTCTAATCAACCACTGAGCCACACTATCATTGTGCCTTAATCTTCTAGCAATTATATGGGCTTATAATCCATTGAAAATGCAAATTAATTATTAGAATACATTTAAGGGTGGGTTGATTTTTTTTTATAATAAAAATGTTCTGGCTTCTGAAATTTCCTGTTTTTTGTTGTGTGTGTATTTTTTTTCTTTTCTACCTACCTCCACCTGGAGCAAAATTCTCCCTGCTCTACACATAGTTTCCTAACTTCCCTTGGGTCAAAGCATACTCAGAAAATCACTGAGGGAAGAGCAGCTGAAATGATGAAACCACTCTCAGCAGGAGAGCATCCAATCTAACACACATAACGAGCAAGACAGCTTTCATCTGTGTGGTTGGTATTTATTTTTCTACTTCAGGTCATTTATCTGATCATATTTTCCTTTTCATTTGCAGTCAGCATATGAAAGAAGTTTGGGCTTCATAATTTAAGGAGCTTGAATTTTGGCATAACTATATTAGCCAACATATTCTTGGGTTGAATCTTTCCCATAGCAATAAATATGGGGTGGGAGGAGGAAGAGGAATAAAAGTAGCCCAGCCAGTGAGGCTCAGTGGTTGAGTGTCTATCCATGCACCAAGACGTCACAGGTTTGATTTCCTGTTAGGGCACATGCCCCAGTTGCGGCTCGATCCCCAGTAGGGGGCGTGCAGGAGGTAGCCGATCAATGTTTCTCTCATAGATGTTTCTATCTCTCTCTCCCTCTCCCATCTCCTCGCTCTAGAAATCAATAAAAACATATTTTTTAAAATCCTATATAAGATAAGCCTAATATGCTAAGTGTCTGGTCAGCCGGTCAGCCATTCAACCAATCAAAGCGTAATATGCTAATGACATGCTAAGACCACTCAACTGCTCGCTATGATGTGCACTGACCACCAGGGGGCAGACGCTCCAACTGGTAGGTTAGCTTGCTGCTGGGGTCTGGCCAATTGGGACTGAGCAAGACAAGCTGGACATGCCCTGGAGCATTCCCACAGTCCTTTCCTGGCTGGCCAACCTGCCGCATCCCTCCCTGGCCTTGATCGTGCACCAGTGGGGTCCCTTGGCCTGGCCTGTGCCCTCTCGCAATCCGGGACCCCTCGGGGGATGTCAGAGAGCCAGTTTTGGCCGGATCCCGCAGGCCAGGCCAAGGGACCCCACTGGTGCACAAATTCGTGCACCAGGCCTCTTGTAAATAAATAAATAAAAGTAAAGTGATGCAGTATATTGTTTCTCATTCCATACTATTCCTGGTTTAACGTATGACTTTTATGTCTTTAACATTTTTATCTTTGTGCAAATAGATGGAAAAACAGCTAATGTGGTACAAAATATAACTGTGAAATAAAAGCTCTAGGTAAAGAAATAAGAGGGAATAATCAGCTACAAAAATACCTCCCACGTTGAATAAAATAGTTAAAGTTTTAGTTGAACTATCAATTCTGAATATAATCACAGCCCAGTAGTTAGCAGATCACTCAGAAATGGATATTTTTAGTGTTCTGCTTTTCAAATTACAATGTGGAACTTTCAGCAATAAAGGGCAGTTTGTAGAAGTGAAAGTCATAAAATGGAGAATGTAAGACATCTCGCATGAACACAGGGAGTAGAGGGGAGGAGGAGTGGGGAGCATTAAATGGGAAGGCTGTCCCTACAACATTAGGAACAGCAGTGTCTCTGATCTGAAAGTGAACCATAAGGGGAGGTTAGATGAGTTGACTTTAAAAATAAATAGAGTAAGTACTCTGAAATAAATCTGAGAAGAACATTATAGACGATGTCTGCTAAAATTAAAATCAGGGTTGCTAAATGGGAATTATCATTAGCCCATTGCTATGACAACAACTGCAACTTCAGGACTATTCACACTACCACAGAAAAAGTGATTGAAGCCCAGCTGGCATGGCTCAGTGGTTAAGCGTTGACCTATGAACCAGGAGGTCACGGTTCGATTCCTGGTCAGGGCACATGCCTGGGTTGTGGGCTTGATCCCCAGTGTGGGGCGTGCAGGAGGCAGCAGATCAATGATTATCTCTCATCATTGATGTTTTTCTCTCTCTCTCTCTCCCTCTCCCTTCCTCTCTGAAATCAATAAGAATACATTTTTTAAATATATTTTATTGATTTTTTACAGCTATGAAGGGAGAGGGAAAGAGAGTTAGAAACATCGATGAGAGAGAAACATCGATCAGCTGCCTCCTGCATACCCGCCACTGGGGATATGCCTACAACCAAGGTACATGCCCTTGACTGGAATCGAACCCGGGACCCTTTGGTCCGCAGGCCGACACTCTATCCACTGAGCCAAACCGGTCAGGGCAAGAATACATTTTTAAAGTGATTAAATACTCAAGAAAAGTTCATAGAGTGATTATTTACTTAAATTTGATAAACATCGTGTCTAAATGGTAATCCCTATGTTCCAAACCAAAAATCACAAAGCTGAGCTCAACACATCTCCCAACACAAACGGGGAGGTGGGGTGAGGGGAGAGGTGTTGGACCTCAATGCATTGAGGACAGCTGAAGATCCTGAGGGAGCTGCAATCCTAACTTCCAAGGTGCTAAACAAACCTACCACTTGCTCCAGAAGGAAATACCACCTCTATCTACCAAGGCCCTTTGGTCTACAATCACCCTTAAAAAGATGGCCCAGAACTGTGGCCATCAGTGCCTCCTTTGCAAGACATTCAGAAATACAAATGGTCATTCCAGTGACACAGACTTCTCTCCAAGAGCATCAGATTTCAGAAGGCAGTGGGGTAATATCATTGAAGTGATTAAAAAAATAATAATAGCCTAGAATTGTGTCACCTCAAGAGCAAGGGCAAAATAAAAATATTCTCAGATAAATGTGACCTCCATGATGGACTATGCAAATTCTGGGATATAATCATAAAGGGAATGAAATTTATAAACATCCACTTTCATCTCATTTTTGCTTTAAAACTGCTAGTGGACAAGTTCCTCCTCTACGGCTGGATAAAGCTCAGTGCCATAAATGTACTGGTCACTGTTAGAGTAAATATACTGTTCGAGCCCTAAATCACAAAAGATCAATTCTGCATTTTATTTATTTTTAAAATATATTTTTATTGATTTTTTTTGCAGAGAGGAAGGGAGAGGGATAGAGAGATAGAAACATCGATAAGAGAGAAACACCAATCAGCTGCTTCCTGCACGCCCCCAACTGGGGATCGAGTCCGCAACCAAGGTACATGGAATTGAACCGGAATTGAACCTGGGGCCCTTCAGTCCGAGGGCTGATGCTCTATCCACTGAGCCAAACCAGTTAGGGCCAAGTCTGCATTTTAAATATCCATGCCCAAAGAAGCATCAAAATTCAAACCTTGATTCCAAGCTGAGGTTTCTCTACTTCCCCCAGTCAGGCTGTTGCAGGTAAAGTACCTGCAGTCAGGAGAGGAGCTGCCATAGCCCCTCCTCTCTTCCCCCGCCTGTGCTTCTACTCCTGCTTGTGAAAGCCAGCTTCTGACCCCTCCGGGTCAAGCAGGAGGGAAGAGAGGCAAGGAGAGCAGGAAAGCTCTTACTGGCTAGTATGGGATGTGAGCTAGCATCAGTGCTCTAGGGATTCAAAAGTGTTTATGTCTGACTTTTTTTAATGTTTCTATTGATTTTAGAGAGAAAGGAAGGGAGAGGGGGAGAGAGAGACAGAAACATAGATTGGCTGCTCCTATATATCCCCTACTGGGTAGGGATTGAGCTCGTAACCTGGGCATGTGCCCTGACCAGAATCAACTGGTGACCTCTTGATGCATGGGATGATGCTCAACCAACAGAGCCACACCAGCCAGGCACTTTATACGTGACTCTTTATCTCATGGTATATTGTGAACTGAATGTTTGTTTCCCCACACACACATCGCAAAAAAAAATCATATGTTGAAATCCTAACCCCCAATGAGATGGGGCTTTGGGGAAGTGACTTGGTCATGAGGGATGAGTGCCATGGGAGAGTAAAATAAGATGTGCATCAGATTGCTGGAAGAAAAGTTCATAAACTCCAGTAAAAAGACAGGGACATCCCAGGAAAAGTGCCGGCACAACAGCAATATCTGCAGACAGTGACCGTGAAGGCTCCCAGTGAGATGGCCACATTCCTGCACATTCACCAGACAGTCAACCAGCCCCATTAATGCACCGAGTCCTGATCACTTTTTTAGTGCTCCACCTTTAAAAATGAACCACAGCCAAGGATCTCTAGACATATGAGAAAAGCCCCTCATCTGTACATAACCAATAACCACAAAATCTAAAGAGTGAAAATTGGGCAAGAAAAATAAATAAAAGTCAGAAAGGAGGAGATAGCTGCACCCCCACGTTTACTGCAGCATTATTTACAACCGCCAATAATATAAAAACAACCTAACACACACACACACACACACACACACACACACACACACACACACGTATGGTTAATAGAGGCTTGAAAGTTTTTCTTGCTGTAGTAGGTTCATATAAAATATATTATATACATTATATATAATGGAATGTTATTCAGCCATTAAAAACAAAAAGGAAATCCTGCCATTTCCAACAATATGGTATATGGTGGATGGAAGGATGGTCAGACCTTGGAGGCATTACATTAAGTGAAGTAAGTCAGACAGAGAGACAAATGCCATTTGATTTCACTTCTATATGGAATCTAATAAAGGCAAGCCCATAGAAACAGGAGTACAATGGTGGCTGTCAGCTGAGGGTAGGAGAAATGGGGAGATGTTGACCGAAGGACACAAATTTCCATTTATAAGGTGAATAGGTTCTGGGGATTTAATATAATCAACTATCGTTGATATTTTATCATTGATAAAAGAATAAATCTTAACTGTTCTCACCATAAAAATAGGTAATTATGTGAGGTGATAGAGTGCTAATTAACGCTATGGTGGTAATCATTTTGCAACATGAAAGTGTATCAAATTATCACACTGTACACCTTAAACTTATGCAATGTTTCATGTCAATTATACCTCAATAAAGCTGGGGAAAACCTACAAAATCTCAGTAGTTTACCAAAACAAATATCTAAGCGGTTATCTGAGAGGTTTAACCTTGTGGAGAGTTGGAAAAAAAGTTGGGAGGAAAAGAGTTGGTTGAGAGTGTGGAAAGATAATGTCAGAGAGGTAAAGAAAGACAGAAATGAGAGAAGAAAAAATAATTGCTAATAGAAGGAACCAAAAAAAATGCACTGAACAGTGCCTCTGAACTACTGTAATATTCTGAAATACATTTTATCATAGAGAATTTTTCACACTCTTGTGATTTTCATAACTGCTCTGAGCTGGAATGCTTCGGATTTAAGTAAGCTTCGGTTTTGACAAACATGGAGTGGACCATACATGGATCTCAGCCAGGAGTCTTTAAACTTTGCTCTATGGGACCCTAGAGGAAGGAGGGTAGGGGTGTAGGAAGAAGAGGGGTGCAGCAGTTGAGGCATCTCTGCTTCCACAGTGTAGGTTTATTTTATATTTTACTTCCTGGAATTCTGCAAATGATTTAATATGAACCAAGTCCAAAAGCCACACACCCAAGTGCTATGTTGGTGCCAGGCTGTCAGGAGAAACAGGAGACACTTTGGGACACCTCCAAAGTTCATGGGCAGGTGCGATACAAGATACCAAGAGCCTCAAGGAGACAGGCTCACGAATTCACAAATTCTCAGAGGATAAGCAAATGCAAATTTGGAGCAAAGGTCCCGGTTGCAAGCTTGGCTCTTTCATTTCTCTCAATAAAACTCTGCCGCTTTAATTACAGATTGTGGATGGTTATAGCAAGGAAGAGAGCAGAAAGGTTAGAAAGGTGCCTGTAGAGAGATGGAGGGTGGCAACCTGTACAAAACTTTATCCAAATGTGCTCCTTGCACCTGGGCTTCCAATATTTCATCACCGACCCTTAAGATGCAAGCATGGAACTGGAGGCCAATGAAGTATTCTATCCCAGTCTCCACAGCTATCCCTCTCTGCGGTATTCCAGGCAGGAACAACTACTTAACTTGCAGGACTAGTGCAAAATGAAAATGCAAGTTTCCTTATTCAAAAACTAGTAAGAATTTGACGACAGCAAGAGCAGAGCATTAACCAAGCACAGAGCCCTTCGAATCCAGGGACCCTGTACTGAGGTCCAGGGGGCATGGCCCTGCAGCCAGCCCTCATCCCAGGCCAGAGGAAGACCCTACTAGTGAAGGGGAGAGTGATAGTCTGCTAGGAGAGTGCCTAGAGCAGTGGTTCTCAACCTTCTGGCCCTTTAAATACAGTTCCTCATGTTGTGACCCAACCATAAAATTATTTTCGTTGCTACTTCATAACTGTAATGTTGCTACTGTTATGAATTGTAATGTAAATATCTGATATGCAGGATGGTCTTAGGCGACCCCTGTGAAAGGGTCATTCGACCGTCAAAGGGGTCGCGACCCACAGGTTGAAAACCGCTGGCCTAGAGACTGAGCCGCCTCCCTTTTATATGAATATGGTCAATCCTAGAACTTTGGTTTTCTTATCAAATAATTGCACAAAAATAGCAAGTAAATGTGAAGAATAAAAGTAACTAAAAGAAGCCACCTTTTCTCCTTCCATATTTCAGAAAAATAATCAAATCTCTGCTGCCTGTGCCCTGCAGAGAACGTGCAGGGCAAAAGGGAACAAAGTGGCCCCAGCCTTTAGTTGTAAACCTTCTCTCTTATGGAAGCCACAGTCTCCCTTTAAAGGAATGCCGGGCACCTGTGAGAAACAGACAGGTATTCTGGGAGGCAGAGGGTTTCTCCCCAAAGAAGTTCCTAAAATCCATGTAGGCTGTTGCCTGCTTAGACTAAAATGAAGGTCACTAGTTCACAACTACTTCTTTGTACATCCCTAAGGCTAGGTACATTTTTAACGATAATGGCACAGTGTACACATGAACATGAATCTTCGCCCTTTGCTCATAACCAATAGCAGAGAAGCCCTTTTGTTGACGCTGGGTCACAGGGGCACAACTTCGCAATGGCGGGAGCTCCAGTTCTGGGGTCAGAAAGATTCCCCTCTAGCCCAGTTCTACCGTTTTCAATCCTGTGACCTGAGCGAGTTGGTGGATTTTGTTGAGCCTCAGTTTCCTGATCTATAAAATGGGGATAAGAGGAGGTGAGGATTAAATGAGATGGTACATGTAGAACTCACCCACAGCCCGGCACATCGGAAACTCACAAGGGCACTCCTTCTGATGTCAAGTTCTCAGGGTCGACTCAGGAGCAGAAGTCAAACACCAAGTATCGGGGACCCTGGGGATGCTCCGTTCTGGCTCCAGGGGCTCTACTGAGAGTCCTGACTTGAAACTTGCCCCTGGTCCTCAGCCTCCCACCCAGCCCTAAAAAAGGTCCAACAGGCGCTGGGCTCAGGCTGGACCTACGACAGCCTCAGCTCAGGCTCTCCTGCTGTCCTCTGCCGCTCCAGTCCTCCACCAGGCCAGACTTCCCAAAACACAACGCTGTTTCTTATCACCTTGGCCTGGTATTGAGGGGCTTCCATAGCAGATCCCTCCATGTGGGCCGACCTTATTTCTTCCTCTACTCCACATCCTCCACCTCCGTTCCACAGGCTGGTCATGCTCCCTGCTGTGAGCACACCAAGCGCTCCTGCCTCCAGCACTGCCCCACTGGGAAAGTCCTCCCCAGTCCTCTGCCTGCCCATCCGGACCTAGGAATGCTTGAACCAATGGGTGGCATTTTGGAAATCATAACTTCTAGAAAGCATTAGAAAGAATGTAATTTAACCCAGATCCCTCCGCTTTCCTTTAATTCATGTGGAAAATATTAAGTTGGATACCTAATACACTTCGTCATAACAAAATCAATTACAAATAGATCAAAGATTTAAAATTTTAAAAACCTATCTATATTGTTGAGGAAAACTTGGACAAATTCCCTTATGTTCTAAAAGTAAGGAAGGCCCTTTTATGCATGACACAAAATTCAGAAGCTATAAATAAAAGATTTTTTACATCTGAATAAAGAGTATTAAAATTTTCTGTATGGCAAAAAACATAGCAGTACTGATATATGCTTACAGCACTATGGCAAAGGGCTCCTATAAATCAATAAGAAAAAGTACAGCCACATAATATAAAATGGGCAAAGGACATAAACAGACAGGTCATGGAGGGGATGGCTTTTAAAACTATGAAAAATACCCAATATCATCATTTGAAAATACAAATTACAAACTACAATTGAATATTATTTTCCATTATTAGTTTAGCAAAGATAAAACTTTTATGTGATCATTGTGTTGGCAAAAGTATAAGGAGAGAGGCATTCTTATAAATACCCTTTTATCCTCGTGGCTGGAGATGTAAACTGGTACAGCCTCTTTGAGCAGCAATTAAACAGCAGTCAATTAAGATTTAAAATTCACATGCCCACTGACCCCGCGCTCCTCTGCTCATCGCTACACTGGGTTGTCTGCTGTCAGCTCTTCACCACCACCCGCTTCTAACACCTCTGCATCACAGCAGAAAAGCAAGGCGCTCCATTCCCCATAAGCCCCACCCCAGGTGACTCTGAGGTACTCCACCAAGGAGAAGCCTGTGCAGACCGGACGCAGAGAGGAGCCTCTGTTATTTTCCATCCACAGGTGGAGCCAGACACAAATATTAAGTAGGATACCTAACACACTTCGTCATAACAAAATAAATTGCAAATAGATCAAAGAGAGAGGGATCGTTGCTCCTGGTGAGCTCTGGAGAGCCACCCACACTGCCCTGCACCCAGGGCCTTGGTGAGAGCTTTGAGAGTCCTGGGAACTACAGCGCGTTCCCAGTGAGCTTGTGAGACCCACCCACTCAGGCGCTTCTGGCTGAGGTTCCATTGACTTCTTCCCTGATCTTCGCTGCCCAGGATCTGCCAAGGATGCTTAAGCCCTCACTCCCTTTACTAAACCTTTAACACCAGAACTACGTAGACTGGCTTCTGTCTTCCTGACGGACCCATCTGACACATTTACTAGTATCCTTGAGGAAATTATCCTATGAATATACTCACCCATATATGAAACCGTGTATATACCCCTCAAAATTAATTGTTTCTAATAGCAAAAGATTGAAAACAACCTAAAAGTATAGCAATGGTGGACAATTAAAAATATTATGATACATGCATATGGTAGAGGTCCATTTCCCATTAAAAAAAGCACAATGCTTCATGGATCCTTATGAACTGATCTTCAAGGTGAAAAAATATCCAGATTAGTTTATATTGTATGCTATCATTTGAATAATAAAGTAATGTACAGGATATCACCAGGTATATACATAAGAAACTAGTGACCATGGGTACCCTTGAGGAAAAAATAGGGAATCTGAAATGGGAAATAGAACTACACAACCCCAAGTATCCTTTTCATTCTTGAATATTCTATCATGTACAAATATTTTTAAAAAAACACACACAAAACAAAACTACTGCCCTAACCGGTTTGGCTCAGTGGATAGAGCGTCGGCCTGCGGACTGAAAGGTCCCAGGTTTGATTCCAGTCAAGGGCATGTACCTTGGTTTCGGGCACATCCCCAGTAGGAGGTGTGTAGGAGGCAGCTGATCGATGTTTCTCTCTCATCGATGTTTCTAACTCTCTATCCCTCTCCCTTCCTCTCTGTAAAAAATCAATAAAATATATTTTTTTAAAAAGAAAGAAACTACTAATTAATTAATAAGATATCATAATCATTATTAAATTCCAGAGAGGCATCAACAAACAAGACACCATGCTTTCTTCCCTTTTCCTCTTCCTGTTTTTAATTTCCTCCTGAAATTTAAAACAAATGAGAAATAGGAACTTGACCTTTTTGTTAGCATACTTTGGTATAATGTCTATTTCACCTTTCTCAGGATTAATTTCCTACATCCATCTACATGCATTTAGAATATAAAGCTCTCTCCTTATACCCCAACAGATGAGGTAAAAACAGTATTGAGATTTAAAAGTTCCCTAGTGTTCGTCTAATATAGGATTACTTAAGGTTCAAATCCATGCACTTTATCTTATAGAGCAGAAGTGACTACTGTCTTTTGGTTGATAAATTCTAGAGATTGATTTGACTGTTCTCTGATCTAATTAAAAAAGAATAAAGAAGAGGAGGCACCCTGACTGCTTGAAAGTAAAAATCCACATTATTTAAGTTGGCCACCATTCTCACCCTTATCTAGAAATTGGGAGTATGAATAGATGCCTTCCATTGAATGGTGACTATTTGAATTCCAATAACACTACTGAAACTGGGGTTCAATATAATTAGCCCCAAAAATTCCAGCTTCAAGTCACGATTCACCAAATATAGTTGCTATTTTAACTCCTCCATGAAACCTTTCATAACTACTCCAGCAAAAAGTTCCTTCTTCCTTCTTTATACCCCTGTAATATAGGGTGGGGCAAAAGTAGTTGTATAGTTGTGAGTATGTGAAGCGCAGTTTATTCTTATAATATTTATTATAGTATTATTTTCTATAAGAATAACTGTAAACCTACTTGTCCCACCCTGTATTATGTATAATTTCAGTTATTATTTTAGTGTCATAATACCATAAAAATTGGCCATTCACCAATATGTTCAAATATATTTGGGTGCCCTTTTTAAAAATATTATTACTGCTATTATTAATTTCTAGACAGTGATAAAGAGAAACTTCCAGGTACTTCCTGATCTCGCCACATGAAGACCAATGATTGTGTTTTACTGCCTCATATATAATGTCTCCTATCTTCCCAGTTACATGTGTCAATAATTCCCTTCTCCCCATTTTTGACGTGAGCAGTTTTGTGCTG